AAAGCAGTCATTGATACTACACTGTAGCTGTCAGTCATCGCTATTATCACTTATCTTGAGTTCTTCCACAAAATATAGAAAATACACTAAATGTACAGTGCACTTAACCCTTTAACTCCCACGATCTCATTAATAATTCTCCTAACTGTGTTCTTGTAATGTTACTTTGGAGAATTTGGTATTGGATCAACTTATAATCCCCTAACATATACTTTTCTTTTCTGGATATTGTATTGATATTTTAAGGAGAAATTATGTTGTGGTCACTCATGGGAGTTAAGGGTTAACAGCATATTACCGTATGTTTATTTTTTTTGCTCTTTGTAGCCCTGTGAATCTCCTGACCACTCAGATACCATCCATTGTCAGAGCTTTGCACAAACAGCTGAAGGAAAAGAGTGTGAAAACCAGACAGGTACACATTTTCACGGTGTAATTAGCTCCATGACTCGTAAGCATCGAGGAAAAAAACTGACATGCTGCTTCTTTGATTCAGAGAAGCGAATTTTCTATGGACAGTTTTCTCAAAGATGTGAATTTTCATGAACAATTTGAGGTAAACCATATGAAGTATTTCCGCTCGAACGAGAGCATTGTGCCCGCCATGCTTCATGCTTTCAGCTGTTCATATCCACTTGAGTAGGTTAGAGAGCACTCAAGAAGCGAGGGTTGTTCTTGGTTGCGCCTCGAGCAATTCCTACACTTCGCTCTTGCTCTGCAAACTTCACCTAGTTATACTCACAGCTAAAAGCGTGGATCAATTTTTGATTGGAGATGTACTTTCACTGAACTTATTTAACTTTCTTCCATTTCAGGGATGCTTCCATCTGTTGTTGGAACTTGTTGCTGTTTTGCCTGGGGCTCTGTCTGATCACATCAGTGCCATTGTTCCTGGAATACAGTTTTCACTTGGGTAAGGCGTTGTTTGCTTACACAAGAGGGTTTTGTGTACAGCATTTTCGACAAAGGGTGTGAAGCAGAGATGTAGAATTGTACGTGAAAATGCTCAAAGGCTATCTGAGTAGTGCTTGTTTTCTGATGTTTGAGTAAAATGCACGTTATTTTGTATTTTATTTGGAAAAAAAAACTGTCGTTGTCTCGTATCGCGGAAAATAATGATTGCCCTGTCCGATTTTATGCTTTTGAAGGAATATCTTTCACCGAGCAGCTTTGTATAACGTTTTTTGACCATGTACAGTGACACAAAAACGAATGGTTTATACCGATACTTCGTCGTGGAAATTTTGAGTTCTTGAGTACCTGATTACTAAAAATATAACAAGCACTTCTTTCTTGAGGCCACGAAGGCAATTGAAGCAGGATGTGTTTGTTGAATGGGCTATTCTCGCTAATTAATTGCCTTACTTTACTAGTGAGAGTTCAAAGTTGTAAATGGTTGCTTCTTAGACGATGATGTTTTTTTAATTCATAAATAATCGTCTTTTTTCTTACATTCTTCCTGTTCTTTTCAGAGATAAGAGCTCAACATCAAATATGAAAATCGACACCCTCGCCTTCCTTGGCTGCATTCTAGCCCAACATCCACCCAAAGTTTTCCATCCACATATTCATGTACTAGTTCCGGTAAGTAGTCATGTTTTATTTTTGTTTTTGTGTTGTTGTTGTTGTTGTTTATTACAATTTGAAATATTGGGTGAGCAAGGCAGGGGTTTTGTTGATGGCCGGTTATCAGCAGTCTTCCGCCACCTGTAAGACCCCTTTCTGTCATTTGTTCAGCCTCTCGGCACATGCTTCCTATTACACCATCGACAGCCGCTTATAAAAAGAAAAAAAACCTTATTAAAACCCTAATAAGGTGGTTGTGTTGTCTTCAATTCCTTCATTATAGAATGCAAGGGAACATAATTCGCATAATTATGTAAAAGTGAACTTTCACTCGCAAAACGACGGAGTTGCACTCAAAATTAGTTTTGCATCTGATTGCTTAAGAAAGTGGCGTTAGATTTGAAGAACCAACTCAGAAGTTGAGTCAGGCAAAAGCAGGAAAACCATGAATTACTTTCGACGGTCCTTTGGAACTTGCTCTTTTATTTTACAACTTGAAGCAATTAGATCAGGTAGTCGACCTTAATATCTCTTGTTGAAACTTTTTTGTGTGTGTGTGTGTGTGTGTGCTCATAGCCTGTTGTGACAGCAGTTGGCGATCCATTCTACAAGATCACTTCCGAAGCTTTGATGGTCACTCAACAGCTGGTCAAGGTCATCAGACCTCACGGTATGTCACAGATGTCACAGTATTTTGAGTCATTCTTTGTGCTACATGTATGTGAGATATACGTTGACCTAACTTGACCTTAAAGTTAGCGCGTTGGACTCTGGGCTGAGAAGTCCGAGCTCAAGACTTGCCAAGACACTTTGCTCTTACGGCCCCCTCTTCCACCCAGGAGAATAGATGGGTACCAGTGAATTGTCAGGAAAGCCTGATGAAATGCTAGGAGGTAATCTGCGCAATGAAGTAGCATCCCATCCAGGGAGACCAGTAATACTATAAAAACCGGGATAAGCTCCTGCTGGATGTGTCTCTCGGCTTTAGTACCGTTACCTTTACTTTATAAAGACATACACTCTATTTAAAATCTCCATCAAGCTAGCGCGTCCGGCGTTTTTTGTTTTGTTTTTTGCGTGCCTAAAAGACGCGAGATGGGACGATGAGGGAAGGGTCAAAACAATTTATTGGAGTTAAGGTACTGTAGTCCGAGAGGAAAGTGTCATTAACTTGAGATCTTAGAAGAGAAAATACCCATCGACCTCCTGCACACAGTTTCTCGAATCGAAGCTCTGGTGCTCTTCATTGCTGTCTTTATTTTCGTTAACCTTTTCCGCCTTAACATCAGTATGCATATTCCACATAGTGTTCCGTATATATTTCTTATGGTGTTGAAAAGGAGAATTTGTTTCACGATTAGGAGTTTCTTTAGGTGGTGATCATTTCTTGTAATTTTGTGACCTTCACGTGTCATTCAGGGGTGATACTGTAGAGTAGAAGTTAGACGCCAGTCAGCCTGAGGAATCAAAGGTTTAAAGGTGCAGAAAAGTCAGCTGCGCAGATTAAATTCCATTCAGCTGGCGTGACAGGAATCACCATACCGTTTTTTTAACATGTAACAATGTCCTCGGACACAACATTAATTGCTGTTTCTCGTCAAATCGAACAGGAGTGCCAGCAAGTGAATTTGAATTTAGGCCGTATGTGAAGGATATTTACCAATGTACTCTTGTCAGACTCAAAGCTGCCGATATTGACCAGGAGGTCAAAGAAAGAGCCATATCATGCATGTAAGTTAAGATTAAGGAGTGTTCATTTCTGTGGAAAGGTGCTCTGTGCAACATTGATGTTGAATGGTTTTTCAGAAGCTGCACTCCCGATAATCGCTTGTCTTTGAACCAGGCAAAGAAACATCGGTGAAAAAGACAAAAAAGCAGTTGATCGGTTTGAATTTGACTCAATAATTTTCTCTATTTTATCGCGGGCTTCATCAGTGGTTTAACTGGGCACTCAAGCGTCTCAAGAGCCTTCTTGCTTGCTGTGGATCGCCCACTTTGATCTCGCAGACAAAGAAAGTTGCTGGAAGCTGGTTTGCTTCCAGTAACTCTCTTTGTTTGCGAAAGTACGGACAGAAACAATCCGCGCCGTCTTTGATTTCTCTTCCGTTTTTCAGACGTTATTTTTTCAGCGACGAACTTCGAAGCTTTCGGTCATCAAGAATACTTGTAGAAATGGTTTCTTTTGTGTCGTTTTCTCCTTTCACACACGCCTTGTGCGATTAGTACGATGCTCAGATAAGACCGTATGAGCATTAGTTTCGAAAAGAACAGGGCGTCAAAAGACTAGAAAATGAAATAGCAGTGAAATAATAAATCCCCTATTCGATGGTTTAACATATAGTGCGACATTTTGGTCATTGATCGTATGCTTCATCGCCCCTAAGGGGCTCACAGAAATACTACGCAACTCGCAAAATATCCGCGCGTATGGCATGTTAAACCATCGAACAGAATATGGCCTCACAAGAAGTCTCTTCACCAATTCTCGGTGCACAAAGAAACAAATTAAACATGGACGCATTATCTCTTCCAGTTGGCTTTAAATGTTCCAATGATAAAGATGTTTGTGTTTTTCAGGGGTCAGATTCTGTGCAGCCTCGGCGATGAACTTAGTCAGCAACTTCCACAGTGTCTCCCAATATTCCTTGATAGACTGAGAAATGAAATCACAAGGCTAACTACTGTCAAAGCTTATTCACTGATTGCAGGGTATGTCGACCAACTCCTTTACTCGCCATTTGCAATCAGCTGCGATGAAAACACGTGGGACGCTCAATCAAATAGAGTTGTATTGTAAAATCAATTTAGCTCACAGATCATTTTAGTTTCTAAGTTTCAATATGACGTGGGTTGGGACTGTACCTCCATTTTGTAAAGTACCATTTCAATCCCTGCATTAATCTCCTTTCCATAAGCTTTCCGAAGCCAATGAATTTCCGGACCCCAAGCTTAGACCTCTTTTCATTTGTCTTTCAGATCACCACTTAGAATTGACCTCTATACAATACTGGTAGGTATAAAAGGGAATGAAATCATCAGGTTCTTGTGTGTAGCTCCAATAAGCCGAATATTTCATTCACTGATCATCTGTTTTTGTTTTTGTTTTTGTTTTTTTAATCACTGTGTTTAGGGCGATTCTATGCCAATTCTTGCCTCCTTCTTGCGCAAGAACCAAAGAGCACTTAAGCTATCAACCTTGACAACCCTCAATGTTTTGGTTACTAATTATGGTAAGACTCTTTTTTCTTTTATTTATAATGTCATCATGATCCCTTTTAACGAGGAGCGTACTATAGTTTGCTAACGGCATCCTTGGAACAGGCTTTGTGATTGTTCTAACAGTCTAACTCCTAAGAGTACGAAGCATCTAATTTCTCCCAAAAATATCACCTCCCTGAATCAAACATTACCCTTTCATTCCCATGATCTCTTCAGCAATTCTCCTTACTCTCTGCCATATACTGCTTATAATTTTAGTTTGGAGAATTTGGTATTTAATCAAATGAAAAATCCACCAATTGATATTTTTCTTTATTCTCATCACTTGTCTACTGGAGATTGTATTTATATTGTAAGGAGAAATTCTGTCTTGGTCACTGTTGGGGGTGAAAGGGTGAAGGTCATGAGAGAAGAGGAAATGATTGTACACTCGAAGAGCTCTTTCATCGTGAGAAACATTCCCCTTGCAGGGCGTGAAATTGCGCCCAATACAGGCGCCAATGCGACTAAATTTTTCACTTTGGAGACCAAATCCTGAAAATTAGTCGCCAAATTGGCGACTAGAATGTTTCATCATAACCTTACTAAGAGATCTAGTGAATTAAAAAGATTTGCAAAGACAAATCCACGGCAAACTTCCTCGTTAAGTTTGTTTCCAAAATGCAGCACATGCATCTCGATCGATAACTAGACGCCATCTTTGATTTAGGTGAGCTTAAACGTTGCATATCATCCATCCTAGTGTCCATTTTGTAGCACGTTAAAGATCTTTTCCCCTTACTTAATTTCTAGAACGATGACAGCGTAAAAAAGTGGTTGTCTTTGAAAATGGCGACCAACTTTTCTTGAATTGGCTACCACTTTGAAGAATTTAGGAGCCAAGTGGCTGTCAGAAAAAAAAAAATCAATTTCACGCCCTGCCTTGTAAGTACCATAGGAAATGTGTAGAGAATATTATGGAGATTTTGTATACTGATCTTAGGGAATAAAGCGTTAACCAATGTGCTTCCGTGTTGTGTTTAGGTCATTTATTGTCTCAAGAGAACATATCAGGAGTATTGACAGAGGTTCCGCCCTTAATCAGCGAAAGCGATCTTCATATCTCACAGGTATGGGTTTCTGGCGCATTTAACGCGTCGCGTTTCGAGGGCTGTGCTGTAAGGTTAATGTGAGGGAAACATATGAAAACGAACGATAACTTGAACTGCGGTTCAAGTTATTGCACCCCTGCTTCCTCTACACCAGTTAGGCGCACTACTAACAACTGAGTTGCAAAAGCTTACTGTTGAGAACGAGGCAATCGTCATCAACAGTGTTTTGTACTTTATTTTTCCTCCACTCCAGTATTTTAATATATGTAAAGTCACTATTGAGCTCAATAGAAGTTTGATTAAGTTGTAGTTTTGTCATCAACAGTGAAACTATGTAGCTATACAAAAAGGGGCTATGTAGCTTTACAAAAGTTTCATTAATCCTGGGCTAGCATAAGCGTGTTTTGAACAGTCTGGCACCACCACGCCTTTCTTTTTCCTATACTTCTTTTATTCAAAATGCACCTTATAACTTTGTGTGGTTTATATAATTGATTAATTGATTGATTGATTGATCGATCGATCGGTTGATTGATTGATTGATTGATTGATTGAATGATTGATATTATTTTCAGCTCTCACTTACATTGTTAACTTCTGTTGCCAAGATCCACAAGGACAGCATGGCGCAGGTAAAGCCCTGTGATTGCTACACGAACGAGCGTTTATTCTCTTTGCTAGGCTTCCAATCCTTCACACCTTTCGGAGGGAGACAAATGGCCAGCGTGTTCCATGGTCTCTCTCCCTATCTTCCTCTTGCTCCAGGAGGGGTGGGAAGAAGAAAAATTTGGAGAACGACTTTGACAACTGTAGTTCCTACTAGTGCTTAACCCTGACCCCTAAGGTTCTTTATTTTACACCTATTACTAGGCCACAATCAGCAACAAAATCAGTGGAAACACCAGTAGCAATAATTCTAGGCACTTCATGCCACTTAACTCCGAGAATCAAGGACTAGATGATGCTCGTGACTATTTTACTTCAATCCATAGTCCATTCCTTTTCCCTGATACTCTAACAATGAACTATCACGCGTTTCACAGGCCTGCACTTCCACTCTGCCAGCCATCATGGTTTTGATAAGGTCGCCACTTCTTCAAGGTTAGAGAGGTGTTACCAAGCTATCTCATATACAATTCATAAGATGTTACGTAGTCTCCTAAAATTTTATAGCTCTGCCTATTAACCCCTGGGTATCGGGGCAGGGTGATTTGCCTCGCATTCAGCCCTAAAGAGAATATATTTTTTCGTCATTTAGAGTAACGCACCTGGTTAGGAGTGTTTCCGTTTGTTTTTCCGACGAATTAAATCCAGGATCTCTCCTGTTTTTTTCTCAACATCGCTCAGTGATTGGTTAAGGTCTTATGCATCATCCTCTTATCCAATCAGATGCAAAACCAACACCAATAGCAACTTGGTTACAACACAGCGGTCTAACGTCTTCGAATGTACCAACGTTATAGAAGCTAGGTTCCAGGCTCCTAGGGCTGTCGACATAAAATTGTCTTGCACGAGTTATAAACAATTACACATATTACAGGGTAGTTTCTTATGTTTTCTTTCGTAATTTTGCGCGGGAATTGAACCGCGGCTGGCCAAAGTTGGTCTCTTTGTGCATGCTTTACCTTAGACCGCTGGTTACTGATATTTCCTCATGTTTGATTCCATCTACGTGTAATTCTTTGCGTTCTTACTTGCCTCTTGTGATAGTTTGCATTTTTCTGGTCAGCGGTTGTGCTTTTTTAAGTTGGTCTCAGTTTTAGACACTCAGGCGTATAGAGCTCTTCGGAAGTGAACTATTTTTAAAAAAGGTTTTTATCATTGGGTAATGATTATCATTTCTTAATCGCTCAGGTGGAGCACTGAATGCTACTCTCACTCTTCTTACTGAACTGGTTACTTCTGGAATAAAAGGAATGGGATTTAAAGATCTCTTCCAGGTATGACTTAACCCTTTGACCCTTAAGACTGACTGGCATTAAATTTCTCCTTACCATATCACCCTTAAATCAAACATTAAGGTCATGAGAATAAAGGAAATGATCACCTACTAAAGAAGCTATGGATTGTTAGACAAATTCTCCATGTCGACATCTTAGGAATTCTTTTGAGAACAGTATGGAGAATATGCATACTGATGTTAGGGTGTAAAGGGTTAACTTAGGACTAAATGAGAGGCCACTTTCATTTAGGAAACCATAAGGTGACTGGGGCGAGCGGTACTGATACTGAGTGTCAACATCGCACTGCATGAATATCACGTAACCCTGCACACCCTAACATTGGTATTAATGTTCTCCATACCAGAAAATTTTTGATAATTGGGAGCTTCCTAAA